CCTCTCAAGTACACAATCTCCATCTGCCATTACAGTTACTTATAGTTAGAACTTTCTGTTTTGTGTAGTTTTATGGACCCACAACCAAGTTACTCTGCCTACTGCGAAGCAAGTTTCGGGCATGCTACTTTGGAGATTAAGGACAAAAATCATGCCTATTATACTTGGCACCGTAACCAGGACAGTGATGCTGTTGCTGTAGATTCAATCTGGTTCTATAACAGATACTGGTATCCAAATGAAGTGAGCAGCTAGAATTTTTTGTTTGTTTTAGTGGAGTTGTTGCCTTGAATCTAACTTTTTTTGGGGAACACTTAACCCCTAGTGCTCTTGTTTCAAATCTAAATTTCATTGGTTGAACATGATTGTTCGTATTTTAAGCTTAACTTCGAGGGAAATTACCCCCTCAAAGCTAGTTCTAGTCCTTTCCAGAAGATAATTCCTAGTTGAAAAGTGTCTCACGTATTACGTGCAATGGTCAATTAGGACTTGCATGGTTGGTAGGGAGTCAAATCAACACTCAAAGTTAGTGGCGAGGCCAAAAATTCTTTTTAGGGTGGACATTTTACTCAAAAATTTTAAAATTTTTTTCTCATGATCTATAAAAATAAAATAATGTATTCAAATTTACAGTATTGTATTTGATATTTAAAGATTCATAAAATAAAAAAATTATTGAACATCGATAAATATAGCGTATACAAATAAAAAATAAAAAAGAGGTTAATTATAACCCTTCACAACAAATGATACTAATTACATAAAAGATACTATAGTCTTTCTCTATATAACCAATCAAGCTATTAGCAATTGATCACTCATTACGTTATTTAACCTAATTTTCATAATATCTATAACTTTAAAAATGAGTCCGACATGTGAAAGATTTATCTAGATTGAAAGGGTGATACCTTATGATTACATGTGACATAGCATTAAATGTGTTCACGTGATGTTAACAAGACAAGACGCACGATAAAGAATCCTCTATTAAGCTTTTCAACAAAGTCGAGTTAATTAGAGGTTCGACAATGGTAGAAAGGGTTCGGTACTCTTTATGACCGAACTCGTCAGTCTGTTCAGCTAAGTAAGGAAAAAGCTCGGGTTGTACCAAGCCGACTCCGTTAAAGTATTCGGCAAAGCAATTGAAGAGATCGGTTTGTACCAAACAAAGTCCCTTAATCTGTTCGACAAATATCAAGTGTGTTCGGTATTCGATATGACCAAGCTGTTTTAAATGATAAATAGAAAGATAAATATTCGTTTATAATTTAGGCAATCAGATAAATGAATCAACGAAATTGTTGATATCAGGAGGAAATATTGGAGAAATGTTAGCAACTTCCCAAACTGAATGATTGAATTGAAGGAAGGTGTACCACCTTGAACCTAAAATCGTGGAAACCCTAAGGGGATAATGATCTATAAAAAGCAGGAGAGACCAAGGTGAAAAGTACGTTGAATTATCCTAATCTTAGCACAATTCTTTTTGTTCTATTACTAACTTAAATATCGGAGTGCCTTCTATCGAAGCATTTCGATCTTGGACAATTTGTTCGTTTTGCAAGAAAGAGTTGATGAGATTGTTCAGATTTGATTCCTAGAAGTCATATCACAAATTCACGTTCAGAGGTATAATCAATTTTTTACCTCTACATAGATGTATCCATAAAATGTTCAAAGTGTGTCCAAAAGTTTATGATTATTTAATTATATGACTATACTAATTGATAGAATAAAAAATAATAGAGTGAACACACTTAATTATACTTATAATAATTTTAAATACACATAAGTAATATTTTATAAAAAAAAATTTAGGGTGGGCCCGTGCCTCCCCTAATCCTCATGTGGCTCTGCCACTGCCCAAAGCTTGGTTCGTCTAGTTAATGGAGGTACATCATACTAATTAAATTGTTTTGACAGTCAAAAGGCTGACTTCAAGGGCTTGTCAAGTTTCAAATTTAGAACGTCTAGATTTATAGTTCGTTCTTATCTCCACTTGGGCTACCTTGAGGTTTTATTAATTGTATTTTATTGCTATGTTCAACAGACTGAGTAGGCTTAAGGCCATCAATGCCTGGGCTTTAAGCCCCACATTTTATAATTATAACCCCTAGTCCAAAATAAAAATTTAATTTTACAAAAATTATAATCACTTCCTTAACTTAATTTGATTGAATCGTAACTACGTGAAAAATCTCTTCTTATTTTTTCCAGTAAGTTCCATTGCCCTTCTTTTACAAATGAGTCCGAGTCCGGTAATACGTAGCCTAGTGCTTGCCTTCTCATTTGTGATTGTTTTGAAATTCAATCACAATTGATCTTTTGTTCTATTCTCGATTGAGGGAGGTTCCCCTTTAAATTTTTTATTGCAAAATTAAAGAACAATGCGGTATCATGGAAGTTGTCAACTTGCACTAAAAATATAGTGCTTCAAGCTTTTAGTTAAAGTATATATTATTATCTTGTTGGAGACTTGGAAAGAGGATGTGTACATGAATAAACCAATAGGGTGGTTGGCCAACTTTCACCCTCTTAGCGAAAAAGGTCAATGATCAATAATACAAGATTTAGTCTCTTATGCTCTGTCACACGCAAATGCAAAGGGGTTTCCTAATTTTTTTCCCTTTTTGATAAAAATAAGTGTTAAGGATCCATCAGGGTCTCAGAAGGATCACATGTACGAAATTTTTATCCTGCATACGTAAAGACTCTCTCCATAATCCAAACCCATGACACCCAAATAATAAAAGTTGCGGTTGTTCTTTTTTAACTCTTTTTTTGAACAGTCATTTTGAGTAATATATATACATTCTAATGTTTACGAGTGTTGTAATATGAAATCAATACCACAATTGGAAGTGTAATGCGAAAAAACGAAATAGTCTAGGGGATAATGTAAGATAAAAGATATAGTTAAAGGGGTCAATATATAATTTTTTTTTCAAGAATTTATTTGACATCCGGCCCATTCACTCCTTTCTTGCTACTCTTTTCTTTTGTCCATTCCACATACAAACAACCTCCATGGCATCTTCCATAAAATATTTTTAAGTACACCTCATTGATGAAGATAATTGAACTATTTATGTTTTTGACCCTTTCAAAAATATAATTAAGAAAGACACTACAATGGTTTTTTTCAACTAGGTCAATGTAGGGTGATCAATAGATTAGGTTCTGATTGAGCGAAGAATATCCTAATTAGATCCATTTAGATATGATCCTCNAATATAATTAAGAAAGACACTACAATGGTTTTTTTCAACTAGGTCAATGTAGGGTGATCAATAGATTAGGTTCTGATTGAGCGAAGAATATCCTAATTAGATCCATTTAGATATGATCCTCATCTGAACTATTTTAATCCTTTCAAGCTTATAGTTAGCAAATTAATCCTTCCCTTAGCTATTGACTTTTATATATTAGCCCTCAATTATTTATATTGATTTTACACCAACCAAACTTTGGTCATTGTTTGTATGGAAAATTTCCATGTATGGAGCAATATATATACATTCTAATGTTTATGAGTGTGGTAATGTGTAATCAATCAACGCTCACAATTGGAGGTGGAATATGAGAAACATAATTGTTGAGGGAATAATGTAAGATAAAAGATATAGTTAAAGGGATCAAAATATAATTGTTTTTTCAAGAATTTAGATCTGGTCCATTCACTCCTTTCTTGCTACTCTTTTCTTTTGTCCATTCCACTTACAAACAACCTCCATGACATCTTTCATAAAATATTTATAAGTACACCTCATTGAGACAGGCAATTGAATTATTTATGTTTTCGTCCCTTTCATTGATATAATTAAGAAAGACCCTATAATGGTCTTCTCAACCTAGTCAATAGATTAGGTTCTGATAGAAGGAATAATATTTAAGTTATATCCATTTAGATATGATCCTAATCCGGACTATTTGATCCTTCCAGGTCTATTTTTAGCAAATTAATCTGTATTCAAATCTTATTTATTAAGCTAAAGAATTAAAAAATTCAAATTATTAGATGTCTCGATGAAAGACCTTTTACTGCAGTGTTAAAAATTGAGTCAACCGAGACTGAAAATTCAATCGATTCAAGTTTTTCTACCCAACTTGTGCTCTTGTGAATCCAGTAAGTTAAAAAAGACTTGGTAAAAGAAAAAAAAACTCGGATTGAAGTCGAAGGCCTTTGATTTCAGTCGGGAGTCCAAGGGAGCCACCGTAGAGGCTAGCCCTAAGGCCGGCTTCATCTTTGGGTGCTTATTCTAATGCTTATATGTTAGTTTNAGAGGCCTAGCCCTAAGGCCGGCTTCATCTTTGGGTGCTTATTCTAATGCTTATATGTTAGTTTAATTAGATTCTAATATTATAGATGAAATTATAACACTTGATATCGTTTCCTATTACAATGCAATTTAAATAAATCTCAAACCGGAAAGAAGAATAGAATTGTAACACCCAACGCCGTTAAAATATTAATGTGGTTTTGATAAATTTGAAAATTGTTAATTTGAATTTATCATTTATTAAAATTACTTGATTTTAAGTAGGAGTGTTAATCGAACTGAATTTTTAGGACTTGAGCCCAAGCTTGTCGAACTCGTTTTTTTAAACGAAATTAAAAAATTATTGAAACTCGATTTGTTTAGAAAATGAATCGAGCCTGAACTCGAATGACTCAACTATTTTACGGTATCATATTTTCTTTGGATAAGACTAATGTATCGAGACACATTTTTCAATATGGTAATAGAAATTATTACAAAATAAGAGTGAGATTATAATTTGTGAGTTTTACTATCATATAATTTGTGAGTTTTACTATGCATTTTTTTATTTTTTTTGGTAAAATTCCATTTGATTCACAAAAGCAGCCTCTAACAAATCCCACATGAAATATTCATTGACGCAGATAGCCGTGTTTTCTACGTTTAAGTAATCCTATCGAAAACTAGTGGCCCAACTCAGCTTGAACAAACCACTAACAACTCCTGCCTACTTTCATCACTTTGACTTGAGAGCTTAAGCAGCTTTGAGATACAAGAAACCCATCCTTCCCAGATTTGCTCAACTTCAAAACAATGCCTATCATAGAAATTGTCCTGAGTGCTGTAACAACCGTTTTGTTTGAGAGATTGGCCTCTCTTGATCTGTTGAAATTTGCTCGCAGCCAGGGAATTCTTACCCAGGTGACGAAATTGCGCAACGTTCTGAGGACTATTCAAGCGGTGCTCAACGATGCAGAGACTAAGCAAATAAGGGACGAAGCTGTGAATCAGTGGCTGGCGGAACTGAGGGATCTGGCTTACGATGTGGATGATCTAGTGGACGAGATTGCGACAGAAGCTTTCGCCCATGAATTGAAGTTGGAGTCTGAAGCAGCTACCACAAGCAGGGTTCGGACCTTCCTCCCTACTTGTTGTAGTAATTTCCCAAGATCTGTTGGGCTCAAACTCAAGTTGGGCCCCAAGATTGAGGAGATCACTGCAAGATTACAAGATATTGCAAAACTAAAAGATGATCTAGGTTTGAGAATCAATCCCGAAGCAAGGTCAAACACAGGAACAGAGAGAATGACTGCTTCTTTGGTGGATGAGCCCCATGTTTATGGTCGGGAAAAGGATAAACAAGAAATACTTGGATTGTTGCTCAACGATGAATCAAGTAATGATGAACCATCCGTCATTCCAATAGTTGGTATGGGCGGTCTTGGCAAGACCACTCTTGCTCAACTTGTCTACAATGAAGAGAAAGTCGAGGATTTTTTTGATCTGAAAGTATGGGTGTGTGTTTCTGAAGAGTTTGATGTGCTCATGATTACAAACAAAATTTATGGATCAGCGACCAAAGGAAGTTGTGACTTCAAGGANCTAACCTCACTTCTCTCTCTAAGGGTATCCACAACCTCACCTCTCTTGATATCCTGCTTATCCAAGATTGCCCTAATCTTCGTTCCTTGCCTGACAAAAGGACACTCGACACACTCTCAAGGCTAATGATCACAGAGTGTCCACTTCTTGAACAACGGTGTTTGAAGGATAAAGGAGCAGATTGNACTTGGATACGGCGCAAGTAAGTCTTAAGGAGAAACTTTCTGGGAAAAAATTTCTCCTTGTTCTAGACGATGTTTGGAATCTGGACTACGTAAAATGGGATCTCCTGCGTGCTCCTTTTCGAGTTGGAGCACCTGGAAGTAAAATTATTGTTACAACTCGAGATGCACGCATTGCATTAACCATGGGTTCCGTCCCAGCTTACAATCCAAAGGTGTTGGGCGATGATGACTGTTTATCTTTATTAGCTCAACATGCGTTGTGTACAAGCAATTTTGGTGCCCATCCAAATTTGGAAGAAATTGGCCTGGCTATAATGAAAAAGTGTGGAGGCTTGCCGTTAGCAGCCAAGACCCTGGGTGGCATCTTGCGCAGTAAACGTAGCTCAAATGAGTGGAAAGATGTACTTGACAGTGAAATCTGGGATTTACCTGAGGATCAGAGCGGCATTCTTCCAGCTCTGAGATTAAGCTATCATCACCTACCTTCTCAATTGAAGCCGATGTTTGGATACTGCGCCATATTTCCGAAGGACTACTGGTTTGACAAGGACGAGTTAGTCTTGTTATGGATGGCAGAAGGATTTCTGCAACAACCGCAAAGAATGAGGAAACGCATGGAAGAGTTAGGTGATGATTGCTTCAATGAGTTGTTATCAAGGTCATTCTTCCAACTTTCAAGTAATACGGAATCAAAATTCACGATGCATGACCTTTTGAATGATTTAGCTCAACATGTTACGGGAGAAATATGCTTTAGGCTGGAAGATAATATGGACAACAATGAACGGTGTAGGATTTCTCCGAAGGCTCGCCACTCGGCATTCATGCGCCATGAGT